TTGTTTGTTTGTTTGTTTTGGCCGGGGCTGGGTTTGAACCCGCCACCTCTGGCATATGGGCCCAGCGCCCTACTCCTTGAGCCACAGGTGCCGCCCTATATTAGAAGTTTTAAGTGAATAAAATTTGGCTAAAGTTGAGCTTGTGCTATAGTTGATCTATATGCTTACAATTTTAAAGAAAAGCAAGAAGAAAAGCAGTACCATAAAATTAATGGTTCACAGCCCGGACTGACTCTGGAGGCAAACTGCACACAAATGAGAATCTCAACTTTGCGACTTACTTGCCAAATGATCTTGAGCAGGTTATTTGACCTTTCTTCATGTTAAAAATAAGGTGATAATGTTATTGACTTCAAGCTTGACTTGAAGATAAGTTCAGGTACACAATTCCTTTTCCAGAGTTCTTGGGAACATTGTATGTGTTCCTCAATTTTTAAAAACAGGATAGGTATGCACACCATTTATTACCTAATACCCCCATTAAGCCATGGGTTAGTACATATTTCTGCAGCAAAATGTAGGCGTATCCATACTAAGTGAAATAAATAAAGGCCACAAATAGCCCCACATCAGCACCAGTCAAGCTTTACTACCAAAGTAGACTTGATGGTTTTTTAGAGTTTTCTAGATTTTAGGACCATCGATATGGGATTATGATCCTATATAAGTAAATTCTTTACATGGTTCTTAGGACAAAATAGGACTGTTTCATACTATTGACATGACCACAGATTTCTGAATATGTATTTTTAAAAATTAAGATTGTGATTTTGGGGTGACACCTGTGGCTCAAAAGGGTAGGGCGCTGGTCCCATATGCTGGAGGTGGCCAGTTCAAACCCAGCCTGGCCAAAAATAAATAAATAAATAAATAAAAATTAGAAAAAAAAAAGATTGTGATTTTGAAAGAGAAAAATGGGCATGCCATTGTATAAAAATAAAAGAAACACCTGTACCCTGCTCTGCCCATTACTACCTGAGCACTTAATAATATAATATTAAACAAACAGAAAAAATATGGTTTTACCCTTTGCTCAATATTATTTGAGATTCTAAATATTAAACTTAGTTTACTTGGGAATGGGGCAGTGAGAATTCTGGATCCTCTAAGAGGATATTCTCTTTGTTACATTTGTGGATTACAGAAGCATTTTTGTTTTGAAAAAAGTATTTTGGCATTAAGAAAGGCATTTAATTTCCATTCTATCTTATAAAAAGACCTTAATTTGCTAAAAGATAAAATGCATTGGTATAAAGACAATAGCTTAGCAGTACTTTTAAGGATCAAAATTACAAACTTAATAACACAAGCAATATGAACTCAGAAACAGAGCATAACTTATTTTATCTGTTGTTATTCTTTGAATAACATTCTTGAATGTTAAGACTTTTAGAAGCATGTCTCAATCTTTAAATATTGACAAAAACAATCCTTATAGGAATTACCAGTTACAATAAGTAAAATCTTAGATTGTTTTCAAAAAAATCTATATTCATTAGAAAAGCTATAATTAGTATTAATAATATTCTTAATAATGCATAGAAAATTTGGACTTATCCTCATTTTCTTAAAATATGAATTCCAAAGTTATGTAGTTATATTATCTTCATGAAACAATAATTATTCATTGCTATTGACCAATCTAAATTGTATTAAAAATGAATACATTATTACTATTTTAAAATCTTTATTAAATCAGATCCATGCTTATTAACATATTTCATTTATAATTAAAATATTATATCAATATTAAATCATACCTTTAGCCCTTCACAAAATATGTGATTAAAGTTTTTATAATTTAAAACTGACCAAGAGGAAAAATTAGATCTTTTAATGAAAGTAAAAAATTATGATAAACTAGAACAGAGATGTACATATACTTAACAGTAGTTTAAAAAAGGACAAAGCACCTATATTTTCTCTTTTTTGTGGCTATTTCCTAAATACTATAAATCATGAATTTTAATAATCATTTGACTAAAACCTTTGATTAATAAATAAAATGCCAACTGAGAGATGAGAAAAAAATTTCCTGAACATCCCTTTCATTTACTTAACTGCAAAAACTCATGTTTCCCTAGGTCAGAAATTAGCCACATTTATGATATTGTAAATCACACTATAGATATATTTGATACATTCCACATGCTAAACACTGTACAACTGAAAGTTCTCAAAAATGAGGCAAAGACAGTAAAAAGTGGTAGTTTCAAGTTAGACTCCCAAGAGTTGGAAGGATGCCTATACTAATTGCAAATTATGTTCTTATTCATTTAAATATAAATATTATTTTACTAGAACATAGAAAGAAAATTTTCAGTGACAAACATCAATATGTAGCAACCAATATTCAAGGAGTATAGTGCCACTTAATGATTTTTCAAGAAAGAGATTTAGTACACCTTCTCAGGTGTTACAGCTCTTCTAGAATTTGTCTAGCAAGTTTTCCGGTCTCTATGGGAAGACACACTCACCCCTAAATAAATAAATAAATAAATGTATTCAGAGATCTGAATATATAGTAATCTAAATAAGATCAGTGTGAATATCAGCTATTAATATGTGGATAAAGAGTAACACATGGTAATATACAGCCAGAAACTTAAACGGCTATTTGTCACTTTTAAATAAATTGAAAACACTTTAAAATTTTAACTGAATTGATTTTATTAATGTTAATAAGGATTAAGAGAATGTTTACTATTATGAAATTAAAAGAATTTTCTTTCAATCTTTTCTCTCAAACTGAAGGATTTTTTTGTTTTTACGAATGGGCATTTAAAAAAAACTATTTCTTAATTCCTAAACTCTTAGTTTCAAACATTTGACCACAGTTGCAACTGAAGGCTCCTGTGCAGTAGCTCTGCCCCATGGGTGCTCTTGCTTCCCGTAGTGTCCGTTACCGGTGATAAACTGGATATAGGTGAGCACGACACAAAGTTTTAAGCAAGAGAGACCACTTAAACTTTTATTTCAGTATATTGTTATAATTCTTCTACTTTATTATTAGTTATTGTTGTTAACCTCTTACTGTGCTTAATTTATAAATTCAACTTTACCACAGGTATGCATGTATAAGAAAAAGCACAGTGTACATAGGGCTTGATACTCTCCATGGTTTCAGGCATCCCAGGGGTTTTGGAACATATGCCCTACAGAGCAGAGGGAACTACTGTGTTTTCTAATTTGATACATTTCTTATTGCTTATCAGTCTTGTTATTCTGTATCTGAATATTTTAAAATATATCAAGCTGACAAAAAGCTGTCGGACTGTTTTTCACCACTACAGTATAGAAAATTAACTTTATGAATATGGCTCACACTGAAAGAATTATTTATTAATGCTACAAGACAGAAATCCAATGACAGGAATATTGTCTGGAAAAGAACAAAAATGAAGTTGCTGGAACTGCCCTGAAAAGCACTCCAAATTGTTCAAGATGGCTTACTTATAGCTATACTATCAAGTATGAGTGTTTAAAATTTAACTAAAAGTTAAATGGGAGTTTCTTTTTTTTTTTTTTTTAACAAATAAAGGCAGTTAAATGACTTTCAGTATTAAAATGTATCAAAATTTTTCCAAGTCTAAAATGTAGCCTGTTTAACACTGTAATAAAATAACATGTGGAAGAAGGCATAGCTACTTTTTATAGCTATTCCAAGCTATTTTTGTGTTTAAAGTTTCAAGAAAAGAATAAAAGGATTAAGTCAGAATTATAAATGCTTAGTTCAAATTAACTCCTATAATTTTTCTATTTTGTTATGAATATTTTACAATATCATTCACTTTTAATCCACCAAAAATGTGGGTGTACAAAATGTGAAAAGAATTTTATTACTTTTGATTCATTTTATAGGATAGTAAAACAGTATCTCTTCAAAATGACTTAAATGTTACTGATGCTGTCATAAAATCATTGTAAGTAAATTTCTCCACTATTCAATTATACCTAGATAACTTTACATACAGCTTTCTCTGAGCAGGTACCAAAATGTACCAAAGTTTATTCAAACTTAATTGTGAAACTTGGGTGAAATAAATTTTCAGATCAAAAAATTTCTCAGTTACTCTTCTAAATTTCAGACAGTGTGAGACTTCCATTTTTATCTTTTTTTTTTTTTTTTGAGACAGAGTCTCACTACCAGGGTCAGTAGAGTGCTGTGGCATCACAGCTCTCAGCAATCTCAAACTCATGGGCTTAAGTGATTCTCTTGCCTCAGCCTCCCAAGTAGCTGGGACTACAGGTACTCGCCACAACACCCTACTATTTTTTGGCTGTAATTGTCATTGTTGTTTGGCAGGCCCAGACTGGGTTCGAACCCACCAGCTCCGGTGTGTGTGGCTGGCACCCTAGCTGCTGAGTTACAGGCACCGAGCCTCGAGACTTCTACTTTTAAAGGGAAAAAATTAGTTTAAGGCTCGGCATGGTGGCACATACCAGTAATCTCAGCTGTTGGGAGGCTTACTGGGGAGGATCACTTGAACTCAGGAGTCTGAGACCAACCTGGGAAACATATCAAGACCTCATCTCAAAAAAAAAAAAAAAAAAGAAAAGAAAAAAGAAAAAAGAAAATTTAATAATCACAGGTTTAATAACTTTTTTAAACACTTGATATACATTTTCATGAGTAGTAATTAAGACATGTTGAAAATTTAAATGTGAAAGATTTCAAAGTTTCAATGTTAATATTACTCTTTAAGTGTTCTCAATATATACAAACACATATAAATTAGATACAATTATATATTTACAATACATATAAGAACACCACTCTCCTTCGTTAGCCATACTGATATTAGGATAAAGTAATAAATCTCTGTGCTATTCAAGGCAAAAAAAAAAAAAAAAGGTTTAAAAATAAATCTTTAAAGAATAGTTTGAAAAATAAAGTTCAGATATTGCACAAAATAATTTAACTGTAAATATTACTACATATTGTAAAACAATCTTTATACTGTAAAAAATTTTTATACTGTATAGTAAATCTCATTTTCTAATTCTATAAAAGAATTTATTGGAAGTCTGCATTTAGATATTAAGTGTTTACATTCAGTTTGATGGGAGTTCAATTTTCACAAGTTAACTAAGCCTTTGTCTTAAAAGCTCATCTATTTGAGTCTTATACATATTTTTTACATCTTCAAGATCTAATCGAAGTTCTTCTGCCTCTTCTGCTTTTTCTCCATACATCTGCAGAATAGTGTTGTATCTTTGATCCAAATCCTGCAAAATTTGTGTTCATAATTTTTAAAATATATAGAACACCTTTAATATATTATCATACACAAATCAACAGTAAATATATTACAATTAGAAGTACACACTCATCTTTTAAAAATTAAATATAATCTACTACAATAATTAGCAAAAAACGGAATTTTTTTTTTGAAAGCAAGCTTGATGGCTGTCAATCTTACCAAATGGTTCTACTAAATCTATTCTCCCTATATGTGTATGGCTTAGTCTGTCCTCTCCCATTAATGACTTGATAACATTTTAGCCTATTTAGTTCATTGTGGTTTAAGTACTAAGCCCACAGGGAAAGTCAAAAATAAAATATATTCTCATTTATGGCTTAATAGTGTCTCCTAATACCCAAATATGATAATTGTGATGATACACATAAGATCAATTGACAAAATACTAAGTTCACACAAAGTTAAAAGTTATAAATGAGCCTTGGACAAATAAAATCTTACTATACTGGGTCTAAACATGATTGTGAAAAATACTTTGAATATGTAATGACACATGTAAGACAAAAGATTCATTTAAAGTTCTATGCTCAAACATCAATAGTTTTGAATTTTCAAAAAAAAATCACTAAAGCAAACATATATGCATTTTATAAACTGAAAATATAACATTTAATGTTACTAGGTTAAAATACCTTAGACTCATCTTTAAGTAAAGAATACTTACTCTTAGCTGAGTTCGAAGTTTAGGTATCTCCTTTACCTTCTCTTCAAGTTCATCATTTTGATTTGTTAATTTAACTAATTCTTCAGCCATTATTGATCGAGTTTTTTCTAGATTGCCAATTTCTAACTGAGAAACATTACCACAAAACAGCTTAAATCAAAACATGTTTAATATTCCCACTAATACAAAAATAATGTGTTATTTTTGAAGAAACAGACATGTTAAAACGCAACCTGAGCGAGCTCTCTTAAGTAGCAGAAAAAGATCCCCAACTTTCCTCAGAGGTATATCATTTATAGAGAGTAAAGAATTAAAAGAAAATCCAATCATTTCTTTGAAAAAACTGTAACTATATATTTTCTCTAATATTTCAGTTTTCTAAGCTGTTGTAAGAATCCAGAGAAATAAACACTTTAAATTTTTTTGTAGCCCCATCTGTGTAGGCCATTGACAGAAGTTTTTATCACTACTGCAGAAATTAATCACAGCACTTTTGCTAATTCAAGATCTTAAATAGGGAAATATTTTCATGTAACTAAAATAATAATGGGGAAAGAAGAAGTTTTACATACTTTCTGAGTGTATCAAGTTTTTTTTTTTTTGAGACAGAGTTTCACTATGTTGCCCGGTAGAGTGCCGCGCTGTTGTCACAGCTCACAGCAACCTAAAACTCTTGGGCTTAAGCAATTCTCTTGTCTCAGCCTCCCAAGTAGCTGGGACTGTAGGTGCCAGCCACAACACCTGGCTATTTTTTGGTTGCAGTTTTCATTGTTGTTTGGCAGACCCGGGCTGGGTTTGAACCCACCAGCTCCAGTGTATGTGGTTGGCGCCCTAGCCACTAAGCTACAGGCACCGAAGCTGAGTGCATCAAGTTTTAACACTGAAAACAGATATAGGTTGAATACCCGTCATCCAAAATGCTTAGGACCAGGGTGTTCTGGATTTCAATTTTTTTCAGATTTTGAAATATATGTATTATATATACTTGCTGGTTGAGCATCTCATATCTGGAAATCTGAAATGTTCACAGAAGCATTTCCTTTTGGCATCATTTTGGTGCTCAAAATTTCAGATTTTGGAGCATTTCAGATTTGAGATATTCAACCTATAAAACATTTTTTCACCTTTCTTACTGCATAAAGTTTTTATTTTATTTTTTGAGACAGTGTTTCACTTTGTTGCTCTTGGTAGAGTACTGTGGCGTTGTAGCTTACAGCAGCCACAAACTCTTGGGCTCCAGTGATTCTCTTGTCTCAGCCTCCCGAGTAGCTGGGACTATAGGCACCAACCACAACGCCTGGCTATTTTTAGAGACAAGGTCTCATTCTGGCTCAGGCTGGTCTTCAACCTGTGAGGTTAGGCAATCCACCCACCTAGGCCTCCCAGAGTGCTAGGATTACAGGCCTGAGCCACTGCACCCAACTGCATAAAGTTTTTAAAAAGCAAAAATGATAAAATGGGAGGATTCTTCCTCAATAACTCATGTTTTTTCCTTTTATGTGCAGTGTTAGCAGCTCTAACGCCCTCCTCCCCGCTTTTGCTAGAAGAGTTGGAGCAATTTATCTTAATCTAGTAAAAATAAAATGGGCATGCTCAGCTCTGCCACTTTCCCTTTGTATTTTGGAAAAGAGCAGCCTGAATACAGCTGGCATTCTGCTCCTAGACACTTGTAAGTTTTAACTGGCCAAACTACAACATGTGGAAAGGCCTATTCCAGCCCAGAATTTCCAGTGATAGAGTAGCAATCTAATTCTAGCAATCCGTTAGCAAGTTCATTTGGCTCTTATCCTTGGCTAATTTCTCCATCTAACCTTTATAATTAATATATGTATATGACACATTTGGGGCTTCATACACCACTATTTTATTTTATTTCTCAATTTGCTCAAAATTAAGGTCCCAAATTTTCAGTGACTTCTATAGCACATTTAGTGTTTTGTTTGTTTTTTTTCATGGAGAGGGGCTTCACTTTGTCACCCAGCCTAGAGTGCAGTGTCACCCAGCCTAGAGTGCAGTGCATAGCAAGACCCTAGAGATAGGGTCTTGCTATGTCGCCCAGGTCTCAAACTCCTGGCCTCAAGCAATCCTCCCACCTCAGCCTCCCAAAGTACTGGGATTACAGGTGTGAGGCATGGTGCCTGGCCAACACATTTGATTTTTCAAATACCTGTAAATGAGTAATTTCTCCTTCCCTTAGCTTTAGCTGAGACTGTAGATTTTCAATAACGCTTGATCCTGCTCCCATCCTTACAGCATCATAAAGATTGCTTCCATTTGCTGATGCAGACATGGGTCCAAATGAGTGATCGTGAGACTCATCCTATGTTCATTTATGAAAGCATACACAATTAATTCAGTTATCATAGATTGTGTTCCACTATCAGATTCAAACAAAATGGTTCTGTCAATTCTTGCCTTAAAATGTCTATGACTTTCTCAAAGCAAGAAAATCATCTATGTTTCTTCATTGCAATTGGCATTTCTCCACAAATATTCCACTGCCTATGGAATGGCAAGGTCATGGTGATAACCAGTCTGCCATCTGCCTATTCCCTTTATCATTATTAAATTTAAGAACTAAGGACATGTAAAAACTAACACATCACCTGAGACAGAAAAGATGTCTGTAGTCCTGCCATATCAACTCCACTTATTGAACTTGAGCGTGACATGGTGGGAGTGCTAGAAACAGAAAATGGCTTGCGTTCCTTGGGGAGTAAAAACAAAAATAAATTCTATTCAGATTTAAGAGCAAAGAGAGACAGCAAAAAAAGGTTCCATAATTAAAACAAAGATTCATTCTAATTTTCCCATAAAATGTTATAGACACGAAATCTTATAAAAAGTATATTTAGTAATAGAAAGAACAGATAGACTTGGCCAAATCATCACAGACCCATTTATATTACAACATAATTTGTTGTTCTTTTTTATTTATTTTTTTATTTAGACAGAGTCTTACTTTGTCACATTTGGTAGACTGGAGTGGAATCATAGCTCAGAGCAACCTCAAACTATTGGGCTCAAGTGATTCTCTTGCCTCAGCCTCCTGAGTAGCTGGGACTACAGGCACCGGCCACAACGCTGGCTATTTTTATTGTTTAGCAGGCCCAGGCCAGGCTCAAACCCACCAGCCCCACAGCATGTGGCTGGCATCCTAACCTCTGAACTAGGGTGCCCAGCCTGTTGTTGCTTGTTTTTAATGGAATAAGAATATTTTTGATGATATAAGTATGTAAACTAAATTAACCGTTCATTTTACATAATATATCATCCATTAAACCTACCTCTTTAACATAAAATTACCAAGTTTTACGAACTATAAAGTTTCTGGCTTACCTATTTTATTTTTAGTGTATTTTAAAAAAAATTCTAAATAAACTCAGAAGTAACTTAAATTTACATATAGGTAGTTTTAACATATTATGTTAACTCTAAGTATGCTATGATTCTTTAAATACAAGTAGAAATATTACCTTCATTAACCAGAAAGAAAATGAACAAGTCAGCTTTGCTCCTAAGGTACCTATGAGCCAAATGAGGTACACTCATTTTGGTCAAAGGCCACAAAATTCATTCAGAAAGGGACAAGCGGTTCTATAATTCAAGTCTTAGAAATCAAAGATCTCTTTAGATATACTCCAACTGCTTTGGGTACACTGTGAATAGAACACTGATTATACCATAAGAATTGATCACTTTATTGATCTTAGGCATGAAAAAGTAGTACTTATAAAGCACAGCTAAAATTTCAAATCAATCAATGATTAATCACAATTATCTACCAAATGGTCACACCAAAAACATCAACAAAATTCAATACCTTTTCTTTTATTGCTTCTTGAGTGAAAATGGCTTTCTTTCTTTCTTGTTCAACTTTCATTCTTTCCATTTCTAACTGACTATTCAACAATGTCTAAAGGAGAGAGAAACAGACAATTTCTGTAATACTAATTCTTACTATCATAATAAATCAATCTCGATGTTAGGAACCTAAGTATAAACTCCTATGTGTTTTTTTTTTTTTTTTTTGAGACAGAGCCTCAAGCTGTCCCCCTGGGCAGAGTGCTATGGCAT